GAGCTGCTGCTGGGTCTGGCCCTGTCCAGGCAACCAGTGATACTGACATCACTGGTTGCCAGGAGCTCAGCAGACGCCAAGACGCCAAGACGCCAGCTACCTTATTATAGCGACGGCTCTGGATGCGCCAAATAATTTGAAGGGGTTGAAAAGAAAGATGCATCTAGATGCACCAATTGTAAAACAAATCTCAAATGTGACTTTTCCAACTAAAATCTCACAATCTGCACCAAATAAATAATGGTTCAGAGTTTGTCAACATTTAGTGCAATGGAGGTGTACATGAGGATCATGGCGCAAGACAGTTACACATTCTACTATGCACCAAATAAACTTGATGCACTCCAGGAATTGACAGCCCACCCTCATGACAGCTTTGAACAATACAATATATGCATACTTGGAGTGTCCGAATCGACTTTACTGGCTCAGACAATTTCTGACACTATCTGCTGTAGACTAATACAGCTGCCCTCATGGAGGTGTTTTGTGCCCCATGGTGGTGTTTTGTGCCCCCCAGCAGGCAATTGGTTTGGGCTTCCTCTATTGCTTTTCTATTTTTCCTTTTTCTCTTCTTTTCTCACTGCTGGTTACCTATTTTTCCCTCTCCACGTATCTATCATCTTTCATCTCTTCCCTTATCGGAGTAAAAAAGGTCATTCAGGTTCAGGGACCACTGTCCTCTTCTGATCCTGCTGCATCCCTTATTACTGAATGTGTCATGTCAGATTTTGCTGATACTGTTCACATGGCATATACTGCTTGTATCTGGTGATCATTTTCACCCCTTCTTTGTACCTGTTTTTCAATGTGATAAAAACCAAATAAACTTGTATTATTTCAAATTAGCTATGGGTGCATTCACAGCAAAGGAAATCTCAAGTCAATGGAGGGTCCGTTGACTTGAAGTTGCACCTTTCAATTTCCTTCCAATCCATTGAGCTGCAATCTGTTTAACGGATGCTAATGGAAGGACATTGAAAAATGAATGGGTTTGAATGGGGCTAGTTCACACCGGATTTGTTGCGTTACATTGCGCTGAAAAAAAGTAGTGCATGTTATACTTTTTTTGTTCAGAACAACGCAACATGTGCATCTTACTTATTTCTGAATAAAACCAAAGTCAAAAATTCACTGGACATTTATTTCAAGCAATAAACCTCAGCTGTCATCTTTGTAATATACATATAACATATTAATCTAAAAATTGTAATGTAATAATCTAAAACCTTGTAATGTTTAACTTAAATATATACGTTTAACATAAACACATATATACTGTAGATATATGTATATATCTACAATATATATAAAATGCTTGATTGTGTTTCTGAGAGCATCGGTTGGCTTCTCACTTCTTTTTACGACAAGTTACACCTAAATTTGTAGGATAGTTTTCATTTTTCGAATTGATTTTCTTTAAAGAAAATGGCAAACAGAAGAAAAAAAATGGACTTCTTACCTGCACTCCCACTCATCTCTAGGTAGGTTTAGTTTCAAGTAGCAAGTCAAAGGTAGAACAGCAAAGGTTTCTGAGCACAGTATATGGCCAGCACTGACTATTATATCACAGGGCACACAGTGACACGCCCCATACAGGCGTTGGCAGCAAGGTATATGGCCTATGGTATCAACCCTGTTTTTCTCAGCAATAATAAAGACAAGCCACAGATAGGACGTGAACGGTTCATGAATAGACTGCGGTAGAAATATATATACTTATGAGGGTGTGGATGAATGTGTGTTTACTAATACGACGGCCTTGTGCACAGTCAAGTCTCAGCTATGAGCCCTTAAAGGGAAAGCGATGTGCATTTTCAATAAGCAGATATTTCACTTATTATTACAGTATTTAGCTTTTTCACATGCTGGCTATTTTCACTATCAAACAATTTTTATAATATTAATTAACAGAAACAGGGATAACATCACACAAATAGAGGTATAAGAAAAACATCGGCATTGCCCAAAAGATAAAAATGAAACATCCTCCTCATCAAATTCAGAAATTCAGCAAATTCACAACCGCTTATTATTAATGCAAAAAAGACAGAGGCAAACTATAATCCACCATAGCCATCAAGGGCAATAATTAAGAAACAAAAAAAGAAAGAAAGAAAGAAAGAAAGAAAGAAAGAAAGAAAGAAAGAAAGAAAGAAAGAAAGAAAGAAAGAAAGAAAGAAAGGACAAAGTAAGAAAAAGAGAAAAGAGAAAATAGAAGAGAAAAAGGTCCAATAGGAGTGCTCCCCTCCCCTGCAGTTACGTTGAAGAAATGGAATGGCCGGTATATTGCAACCAAGGGTCCCAAATCGCTTCAAAACTATCAAATTTATCTTGCAATATGCTAGAAAGCTTAATCCAAAAAACTTTAGATTTGAAAAAGGAAACTGGTACATCTGTAGATTTCCAAGCCCTAGCAATTGCAATTTTGGCTGCTAGGGGAAAAAAAGGAGAAATGTATCTCGTTTTCTTGTTGAGCAAGACATAAAGAGGGTCCTTAGGCACCTTACCTCTCAAAAGTCTATAAATTAGTGCAAAAAGCCTGTTCCAAAATGAGCATAATTTTGGGCACAACCACCTTGATACGTGGTATCAAGAACCGTGTGTTGTCCGCAACTCCTAAAGCACAGCGGTGAAGTACCTGGAAATATCATGCTGGCTATTTAGACCAAAAAAAAACAACAATTCATTGGAGAACTCCAGAGCTTCATATACTGTATATTGTCCATGTTAAGGAAAAGACAATATATACTAACATAACATGATAGGCGCTATTGGCATGTCACACAAACTGCATCAACCTTACAGCAGTTAAAAGCAGCTAAAAAATACAAATGCATTGGTGTCTTTTTTATGTGAATAACTGCAATTCTCCACTGAGCTCTCCGCTTCTTGTAGGATATATGTTATATACTTTATAACAGGGTTTTAAACTTGGGTATAGGCCGCAGGCTCTTCCATAGGTACAATGTCCAGGAATCTCCTCGGCCTGGGAAGGATGCAGTGTCACTGGGAGTGAATTGGATATTAATGGAACAAGGAGAGGAGAAAAAAAGGGGAGAGGAAGGGGTAGGGAGTGGATTGAAGTCCAGCTCTGTAGGGCTATTAATAATAAGATTGACATTAGATATGTTAATCCACAGCTGATATCATGTTGTGTATTCCACCAAGTAGAACCCCCTCCATCTGAACACTTCCAAAGCACCCTTTATTGTTATTAGGTCCCCCACAGAGGCGGCTCTAGAGTTTGTGAGGCCCTAGGCAAAGATCAAATGTGAGGCCCACACTTAAACCCATACCGAAAAAAAAATGCATACTATAATTAAAAATGAACTATGGTGATCAGTGATGGTAGAGAGAGGCAGACATTGCCCAGTGGCCAGTGCAAGGATTTTTGCCTACAAAGGCCCCACCTCCCCGGTACACTCAGGTGGCTGCCTATGCAGCCTTACGCTAGCACTGGCCCTGGTCCCGTGTCACCTAGGAGGTGACACACCAAGTGCCATTTTTTTGCAACCATCAGACAACCGGGTGCCAATGAGCAATAGTGTGCCATAGTGCTAGTTACATTTCAATGATTACACTAATAGTTGTAGTGCTAATAGTAAGTTCAAATCACAAATTATTATAATGTGTTTACCGCCAATAGCAGCACAAGTATGAGTGAAAAAAATGAATAACTGGTGCACACATAAAACATGTTCATATTTACATGTGCTGAAAAGTAAACTGGACTTAATGACCTCAGACCAGAACCAACACAAGGCAGATTTCAGACCAGAACCAATGCACAGCAGACCTCAGACCAGAACCAACGCACGGCCAACCTCAGGCCAGAACCAACGCACGGCAGAGTGCAAACCAGGACCAACACACGGCCAACCCCAGACCAGAACCAACACATGGCAGACCAGAACCAATGCACGGCACAGCTCAGAACAGAACCAACACACAGCAGAGCCCAACACGTTGCAGAGTGCAGACCAGAACCAACACACGGCAGAGCCCAACACGTGGCAGAGTGCAGACCAGAGCCCAACACGTGGCAGAGCGCAGACCAGAACCAACACATGGCAGAGCCCAACACACAGCAGAGCGCAGACCAGAACCAACAAACGACAGAGCCCAAAGCATGGCAGAGCGCAAACCAGAACTAATACACGACAGAGCCCAACACGCGTCATAGCGTAGACCAGAACCAACACACGGCAGAGCCCAACGCATGGCAGAGCACAGACCAGAACCAATACATGGCAGAGCCCAACACGCAGCAGAGCGCAGACCAGAACCAATGCAGGGCAGAGCCCAACGCATGGCAAAGCTCAGACCAGAACACATGGCAGAGCCCAACACATGGCAGAGCGCAGACCAGAACCAAAGCACGGCAGACCTCTCACCAGAACAAATACATGGCAGACCTCAGGCCAGAACCAAACGCACGGCAGACCTCAGACCATCATCTAGTGTTATTAAATAATGTATACTGGTCAGCTTACCGTTACATAAAAAAAGGCAGTGTCCAGAGTGTGCCATTCCCTCAGTATGTATGCAGTAGCCCCGGAGAACATTACCATGGAAACCGGGAAGCTTGTAGAAGACCAGTAAGTCCTCTCCACATGCTTAGACGGTATGGGGTGGGTGGGAGCCTGGCTGGATGGCAAGACAGATCTGATTGGCTGTTGCTGGCAGAGCTGCTGGCTGCTTTGTGTCCAGTCTCTCTCCCCCTGCTCTCGCTGACACACAGCTGTGCTGGGGATGAAGCAGAGTCCCAGCAGGAGGATGGGGGTAGTGAACTCCTGACAGAGGAGCGCTCTGCTACCATCAACAAAGATGCCTTTTTTTCCCACCACCCGCTTTAAGTCTGGCGAGTTAGGCAGCCGCGAGGCCCCCGTGAGCGCGAGGCCTTAGGCAACCGCCTAACTCGCCTAATTAGAGAGCTGCCTCTGGTCTCCAATATGTTTGATATCACTAATCCTGGTGAACCATTATGCCATTGTTGGGAGCTTGAGGTAATGCTATAACAGCTAGATATAGTCTCTTGCTGCATTTATTAGGCGTATGTGAAGTGATTGTGATTGCAAGTTTTTTTTGAAAATTCATAATGGTGAAGGAAGAATGAAGGTTTGTAAGGTATAAAGTAGGTCTTTGAGTTTCCGTGAGATGTGCCATGCTATCTTCCAAAATGTCTGGAGTTTGGAACAATCCCAGAATATGTGGAGAAATGAGTCTATACCTTTAGCACATTACCAACACCATCCAGAACACAAGGGAAAGAAGGCCTGAAGAACAGTAAGCATTCCATATCTAGCGGATTATATCTACTACCTCTTGGTATTACTAATAGAAGATTTGTGAGCACATAGAAATCATTTTACAGATGTTTGGAAAAAATGGGATTTCCCAGTTCTTTCAATTTTTTTATTTAAAGATGGATGTACCGTGGTTCAGGTGTGATCACTTTTCAAAGGGCATATATACATATAGCAAATGCACGGACATAGGTTTAGTAAGAAAATGGTAAAGTTGAAAAGTTCTCCAAAATCCCAAATGTGTAAAGTATTTTACACTTTCATTTACTGCACAATGGAGCAGGAGGTTATGTTCTTGTGGAATATGCAGGTTGCCCCTAATTCAGCCACATACTGAAAACTGTGGTAGTGTGGGGGTCTGCAGAGAAGTGAGTCAGTACAGCAAGGGTTGGCGGAAATGTGAGTCAGTTCAGCGGGGGTCGCGGGAAATGTGAGTCAGTACAGTGGGGGGATGGGCGAAGAAGTGAGTCAGTACAGCGGGGATCTGCGGAGGAGCCAGTAGAGTGGGGGTCTGCGGAGGAGTCAGTACAGTGGAGGTCTGCGGAGGAGTCAGTACAGTGGAGGTCTGCGGAGGAGTCAGTACAGTGGAGGTCTGCGGAGGAGTCAGTACAGTGGAGGTCTGCGGAGGAGTCAGTACAGTGGAGGTCTGCGGAGGAGTCAGTACAGTGGAGGTCTGCGGAGGAGTCAGTACAGTGGAGGTCTGCGGAGGAGTCAGTACAGTGGAGGTCTGCGGAGGAGTCAGTACAGTGGAGGTCTGCGGAGGAGTCAGTACAGTGGAGGTCTGCGGAGGAGTCAGTACAGTGGAGGTCTGCGGAGGAGTCAGTACAGTGGAGGTCTGCGGAGGAGTCAGTACAGTGGAGGTCTGCGGAGGAGTCAGTACAGTGGAGGTCTGCGGAGGAGTCAGTACAGTGGAGGTCTGCGGAGGAGTCAGTACAGTGGAGGTCTGCGGAGGAGTCAGTACAGTGGAGGTCTGCGGAGGAGTCAGTACAGTGGAGGTCTGCGGAGGAGTCAGTACAGTGGAGGTCTGCGGAGGAGTCAGTACAGTGGAGGTCTGCGGAGGAGTCAGTACAGTGGAGGTCTGCGGAGGAGTCAGTACAGTGGAGGTCTGCGGAGGAGTCAGTACAGTGGAGGTCTGCGGAGGAGTCAGTACAGTGGAGGTCTGCGGAGGA